GGGGTGGCGACTGTTCGTCCTGGGGGTCCAGGAGGCCCCTGAAAGAAGGGTCAAATTAAGGGAAGCTGACGTGGCCCCAGGGATGGCAGGGCTGGCTCCAGGGTGGGGGCCACACATGGCCCTGCCCCACTCACCGGCTCCCCACGGTCACCCTTGTTTCCTGGTGCTCCAGGGCTGCCCTGCAGGTAAGAGGGACGGGGTGAGAGGGAGAGGGAAGGGGGGACTCATGGGGTGGGGGGTCCCATGGAGTGACAGGTACCCCTGGGGTAAGGGTGGGTGCAGGGCAATGGGGTGTGTGGGGTGGGGGGTAACTATGGAGGGATGGGCACACACTGGGAGGCACTCACATTCCTGCCTTCCGGACCTGGGTCCCCCAAGTCACCCTTCTCCCCAGGCGGGCCACGGTAGCCAGGAGGGCCCTGGGTGGAGTGCAGAGGGAGGATGTGCATTAGCAGGAGCTACCCTGAGGCCAGAGGCATCTCACCTTACCCAGGGTGCCCACCAGTCCCACACTTACCCGGGGACCCCTGTCTCCAGATTTGCCAGGCAGACCTGCTTCGCCCTGCAGGGCAAAAGGGGGTGAGTGGGGAGCAGTGGGGAAGGGTGCAGTGGTCCTGGGGGGCTCTCACTTACCGGGGTGCCTTCATCACCCTTCTCTCCTCGCTCTCCCTGCAGCACAGGTCAGCAGGCACCGGCCAGGGGAGCAAAGAACAAGTCACCAATGTCCCCCTGCTTCCTGCTAGCCTCCCCACCTCCTCGGGGCCACAGTGCCCCATGGCCCCTGGTCCTGCCTTCCCCCCTTGCCCCACACTACCTCTTTGCCTCGCATCCCGGTCTGCCCTGGGGCACCTGCTCGGCCAGGCTCCCCCTTCTCCCCTGGCTCCCCTGGGTCACCCTAGGCAAGGGAAGGAGCAACAGGTCAGAGCAGTGTGGAGGCAGTGCAGGGGCTGCCAGGGGAGAAGGGGCTCAGCATGGCACCTTCCATGGCCTTGAGACTCAGCCTGCAGAGTCTCCAGAGCCCAACAGATTAGATGGATGGATGTAGGGGCAATGACTCCTGCAGTAACATTACCTTTGGACCACTTCTGCCTGTGGGGCCAACGATACCCTGGTTGTTGGAGAGGAAGAGCATGTATCACCAGGGACCTCAGTGACCCCATGCCAGGGGAGGGACCAGGACCGTGAGCTGGTGTCCCCAGGGTGCACCCAAACTCACCTGATCACCTTGCTCGCCTTTGGGGCCAGATGGCCCCGGGATGCTCAGGCCAGGGGCACCCTAGACATGAAAGGATGCAGAGTGGAGCAATGGCACAGGTACCACGAGTCTGGGGAGGGCCGTGCCATATGCCCTGTGCCTCCCATCCCCAGGCAGTACTCACACGGGCACCTTTATCTCCTGCATCCCCCTTGGGGCCAGGAGGTCCTTCTGGTCCTGGGAAGCCTCTGTCACCCTGGAGCAGACAAAATCAGCAACCCCTTTTTCCCCACTGTGTCTGTGGACAGCCAGGCCTTGGACCAGGAGGAGCATCCCTTCAGGTCAATACCCAGCTGTGCAATCCCCCTCCCCAGCCCACAGTCATGCCCAGAGTGTGCTGATGCAGGGCAGGGGTCTGGGGCAGGGTTACCTTCTCTCCAACACCAGCCACACTGGGAGCCTGCAGGGGAAGCAGAGGAGACCGTGCTAGGCGCTGCACATGGCTCCCTGTCCTGGGGCTGGGGCAGACAGAGGTGGACCTGCTGGGCACCATCACTTACCGGCTTGCCAGGTGGTCCTGGATCACCCTGCAGAGAGACAGATGTCATTGCCAGCCTCTTCCACAACAGACCCCTGCCCCTCCCACTGGT